GGGGTCCCGGACCGCCCGCCGCCGGCCCCCGTGACAGCCGCAGCCTCACCGCGGATTCGGGCTCAGGCCCGGCGTCGGAACGCGGTGTTCCGGGCCAAGTGGACTTCTACGCGCGCTTCTCGCCGTCCCCGCTCTCCATGAAGCAGTTCCTGGACTTCGGTGAGTACGGCCCGGGCTTCGGCCTTTGTGCGCCGTCCCGGGCGGGAGGCGCAGCCGCTAACCCGGCCCGCGCTGGCCCCTCGCCTCAGGCGCACCCCTCCTCCTCAACGTTTCCTCCCCCAGCGCCTTAGGTGCTTCATTCCTCCCTCGCGGTGCCGGCGCTTGCAAGCGGCGTAGATAACTGGGGGCGCGTGGCTTTTTACTGTGCATTGTGGAAAACAGACCGGGAGGGCAGCTGGCGGAATGACCTCCCTCCTTTCTGCGCACGTGAGCAGGTGCGACCAGGACCCTTCCGAGAGCGGAGCTCGGGTGAGAGGCCAGAGCGTGGACACCTCCGGAAATCGCAGTAATCATAAATGCCAGGTTTTGCATATGACAATTGCATAGAATTGGCATGATGATAGGGAAGGCAGGTTATAACTGGCCCGATGTTTCTTAGAATGTTTTCCTTGCTAGTGCCTTAAGAGTGTTTTCACCAACAGCACGCTCAGTTCATCATCAGCAAGTAAGTCTTGAGCACGTGTAAAAGTGCATGAGTACAAGATGCCGTGGAGTTTACCACATTTTACCCTGGTTTTCTCTAGAAAACATGCACAGATTGTGTAAGTAATTGCAAAGTTGGGCATTTAACTTTGACTTCTCACATGGGAGCGATGAGGAGAAAAGAGAAAACTCTAATATAAACTTTAATAAAGTCATAAAGTTTAAATAGAAAAATTTATCTTCTGCAGTGCGAATGCCGTTAGGTCACTAACATCAGTAGTGGGCTTGAAAGATACAGTGTGGCTGGCATCTTTATCTTAAAGATGTGGTTTACAGTGGCAAAGTTTTTAGCTCAAACTCCTTGGTTTTTGTTTTTACTTTAAAATGAATCTGTGATGAAGGGGTGAATTTGACCTTGTTCACAAGTATGCCATTAAACTTATACAAGATATTCTCCTTTAGTACAGTAATTCCTGCTATTGTCAATGTATATTTTGCTACGGTTGTCTCTGCTAAAGCAGCAAGACTAAATTGGTGAGTTTAAAATGCATTATTAAAATAATAAGACTTTTTAGTTTATCTTTAAATGGTGCTGCTTGACAGAGGACATTTCTACAACTGTTCTGCTTAGCATCCTGATATAGGAGTGGAAAAAGGGGCAGGTGACTTTCTAGAAATCAGGCAATTGAATAGGACTTACTTGAAGGTGGTTGCTGAACAGGCATTTGTGGTTTTTGCTTTCTGTGGCCTAAAAGCACTCCTCTGCACTTTCTCTTTTCTTATGGTAATTAGTGGTTCTATATGGAACCAGTGAATCTTCCCATGTAGTGGTTAGAATTTTCCTGTTTCTTAGACAGGTATGCACTCTTTATAAACCTAGCATTTCTAAATGATAGCAGCAACAAGGGATTTGGGATAGGCTCTTCCAGGTTCTACTGGATTTTTTTTTTTTTTGTCCTTTTCGTGACCGGTAAGGGGATCGCAAGCAACCCTTGGTGTGGTGTCGCCGGCACCGCGCTCAGCCAGTGAGCGCCGGCCAGTCCTATGTAGGATCCAAACCCACGGCGGGAGCGTTGCTGCGCTCCCAGTGCCGCACTCTCCCGAGTGCGCCACTGGGCCAGCCCCAGGTTCTACTGTTAATTAGACTCTGAGACCTGCTCAGACATGCACAAGTTACCTTAGTTCTAAAATAGGAGATCACTGTAAGGATGCAGTAAGGGAGATAGAAAAGTACAGTATCTTAACTGATGTACCGAGCCATTGGAATGTCAGGAATTTGGAGGTCATTCTGGATGCTTCATAACTGGGGACTGGGTATCTCATCCCTCAGCTCCTTCAGCCATGGATATTTTTGCCTCCTATTTGCTGCCCCATCATTATGGTGATTCTACCACACTGTCCTTGCCAGATAAGCTCCCTCTGTTTCTCCCTTCCTCCTTTCTTCTGCTGCCTTTTGGCTTCCACTTACCGCTGTTCCCACCGTGTTTGGTTTCAGGGTCGGTGAATGCTTGTGAAAAGACCTCATTTATGTTTCTGCGGCAAGAGTTGCCTGTTAGATTGGCAAATATAATGAAAGAGATAAGTCTCCTTCCAGATAATCTTCTCAGGACGCCATCTGTTCAAATGGTACAAAGCTGGTAAGATTCCCATCTTGTGTTTACAATTTCGAAAGAGTTATGGACTTTACTCAAGGTTAAAGCAAGTGCTTTGTTACTCTGCAGTGAGATCTTAAGATAGTAGCAGTACTCCTCCTTATCTTTCTTTTTTGGTGTGTCTGTCTCCTGAATCCTAGACTCTATCACTTCTTGATTTTGAGAAAAACAGAACTGCACTGAAATACAGATACCAAATTTAAGATTTGTGTTATTAAATTTGAAGGGATGTTATAATATAAAAAAAACCTTACCATTTGTTTGTGGCTAGGTATTTATATGTAGAATATTACCTTTAGTCCCTTTAACAATCCCGCATGGTAGATATTATTTCCACTTTACAGATGAGGAAGTGGAGGCACATATGTGGGTACTTCAAAAATTTCATAGAAAAATGGAATTAGAATATAATATGAATCTTTCCATGAACTTTTTGAAGACCCCTTGTATAGTGGATCTAGGATTCAAACCCAGATTTGTCTGTTTCTACTATACCATGCTGTAGTCAGAATGGTGAAATGTATGAAAGGGTATAAATATTTTTAGTAAAGTGAGTTTATTTTATTGAACTGTATCTTTTTTAAAGTCACAAAAGTTAAAACTTTTATTTCTTCCATTTTAAAACACTTAGAAGTTATTGGAATTACATACAAACTGTGATCTCTCTTCCCCAAAATGGCAGAGTTGTTGAGGGTATGCAGTCATATATGGCCACCTGTATACAGCCTTTGTTGTTAATGTTATTAATTTAAAAGTGTTATTCTCCTAAGGACTCTAAATTTCAAATAAAAGAGTCAGCCAGAATTAAGTCCTAAGTGGAAAATATTTAGCTGCAAGACATTTCCCAATTATGATTCATGGAGATTCTAGTTTTCTTTTTGTAGATATTATAGTTTTTGGGAAAGGCTGATCTAACATCAATTTTAAAAAGTAAGTGAAAGAAGTCTGACTGCTGTATATGATAATCAGATGCTATCTAGTCCAAGTATGGAACAATTATAAATGTGGTTTGAGTGAGAGCCATTTGTTTAGGAATTACGATGGAAGGAGAAAATATAATTTTCTATGAAAGTTTTTTTCTGTTTTTAAAAATTCTTCATTAAAAATAGAGTATGCTACTTTTTGAAATCTGGTTTGTGCTTGGCACATTATAGGTACACAAGTATCTCTTGAATTAATAGTTCTTCTTGCTAGTGAAGAAAAAATTAAGGGTTAAAGCAAAACAACAGCTATCAGAATCACTTGACTTTGGAATGTAGTGAGGCATATTGCTTGTCAGAAACAGCTTTCCAAACCAACATATGGATTTACAGATTTTTAAAACACTTTCATTGCTCCTGGATGCCTGCTAAGTTAGGGCAGTTGTAGATAAAGTCTCACAGACAAGCCAAGCAGACCATATACTGTTGAAGAAGGCAATTGAATAGTAGCAAGGTATTTTTAGCTCTCGCCCTGCAATGCCATTGTGCTTGACTGCCCTTGAGAAAGTCATTTGGCCTTCTTCATTCTGCTCATTCCTTAGCAGATGCTTGGCTACCTTGAATTGTGTAATAAAAACCTACATTTTCATGACTTTTGTGTTTTTGTTCAGTACTGCTTAGAAGAACCATGTGAAAGATTGTAGACTTTCAATATATACTTGTTCATTGAACATAAACATCTGAAATTAAGGTTTTGAAGTATAGACACTTAAGTTAGATTCTTAAAGCAAAGTAGTCTGGCCTCATTTTATTGAGAGAGACTAAGACAAGTCTCATTTGCCCAAGAACACATAGTTATTGGTGACAAATTCAGTTTTCATGATCATCAGTATTTATACTGTAATGTACAGTGGTAAATTTTAAAAATTTAAAAACTATTTTAGGGTATTGAATTTTAAAAAGGAGTAGGAAATCTTAAAATTCGTAAATCAAATTTGACCTATGCTTTTAAGAGAAAATGTGCACCTTCTACTGATTTGTGCCTGACACTTTGCTCAAATGTGAATGGGTGTAAAAATTTTACTTCAGCATAATTTATAGCGAGCGGTATTCTAAATTAAAAATTATAAAATGTTAAAAATAACTTTTGAGCTAATTTTCACGATATTGAACTTTCAGAATATAAAAGAACAAACTTTCCCTATTGGTTTGAATTTTAGGTATATTCAGAGTCTTCAGGAGCTTCTTGATTTTAAGGACAAAAGCGCTGAAGATGCTAAAGCTATTTACGAGTAAGTATGCTGTTTTGACCCTGTTCTGAACACAGTTTTATATCCTTTAAACACCATATAAAAATGTGAATACATTAAGCATAATCCTGCTATTGGGTCATCCAGTGGGTTGATTCTCCCCTCCAAAGCTCATGTGGAACTTAGTTTCCAGTATGGCACTTGAAAGGTGGGCCTTTAAGACGTGATTGGATTGTGAGGACTGTGCTCTCATGAATGTATTAATCTATTCATGGAGTAATGGGTAATGGTTTAATGGGTTATCAGGGAATAGACTGGGGGCTTTATAAGGGGAGCAAGTGAGCACATAAAAGTGCTCTTCCCCCTCCTCAACATGTGATACCCTGCATCATCCCGAGACCCTGTAGAGTCCCAACCAAGAAGACCCTCACCAGAATACCCAGTTTCAGGTATTCTATTATAAGGGACAGAAAACAGACTAATACAGGTCACGTTAGAGAACTTGATATTAACTTTTAGGTTCCTGCTACTTTAGAACATGTGGTTGTATATGTATCTGTAGCAGCGCATATAGGCAAGGCAACTAACATAAATCAGAAAATTGGATTGTGCATAAAAAATGTGTCATGTTCCTATTTATTATAACAAGACAAATTTGGTGGAAATTTAGATATGGCCTTAATGCCACTTGAATGGTTAACCTGGACTGTTAACCACGCTCCTTCTAAAGGACAGACACCCTCAGCTCCAGCTGATCATTGCCATGTAAAACTGCTGTCCAGATCATCTGATGGTTTTCTGATTTTAAAGAAGGGCTACAAGTCTATTTTTTTAATGTAAAATATCCAAATTTTTGAAAGATTGGCAGCTAGTTAAAAAATTCTAAAAACACTGGAGGTGTATAAAAACTCGACTGTAGGTCTCTAGTTTATGACATGTAGTCTGTAAGATAATGTAAGTAATATGACCAATTTAATAACCAGCATACCAGAGTTGGTAAACCCAAGTAGTCACCTCAGGCAGTTACCTGCTTATTCCAATGAATGTTGCTCAAAACGTAACAACCATCTCTCATTCTCAGAGTCTGTTACACATTTTTTGGACTGTCTTTAAAGGGGACAGTGACACTTCATTTTGAAAACATGATTTTGATCTGACAGCATTCATCAGGAGTTCACTCTGTGCCTAGGTAAAGAGCAGACTTTATATGAATGATGTCATCTAATCTTTAAAACAACTCTATTCAGATAATGCTGTTTTTGCACAAAGAGGTTCAGTAACTTAAGGTTATATAGCTAGCAAATGATAGGACCAGGGTTTGAACCCAAGCAGTCTTACTTAAAAGTAACATTATGCTATAGAACCTTCTGAAAACAGCCATTTATAGCTGGACTTAGAAAATAAGGTGAGTAGTAAAGCAGAATAATACTGTTTCTTGCTTTTAAAAGAGAGAGAGAGAAAGTCAACAAAGAGGTAACTAAAATGATAAGTTGTTTGTTGTTTTTGAAGAGTTTTGTTGTTTGTATATATAGCTAGCAAATGATAGGACCAGGGTTTGAACCCAAGCAGTCTTACTTAAAAGTAACATTATGCTATAGAACCTTCTGAAAACAGTTAGCCATTTATAGCTGGACTTAGAAAATAAGGTGAGTAGTAAAGCAGAATAATACTGTTTCTTGCTTTTAAAAGAGAGAGAGAGAAAGTAAACAAAGAGGTAACTAAAATGATAAGTTGTTTGTTGTTTTTGAAGAGTTTTGTTGTTTGTATTTTGGTTTGACAATTTGGTTTTGAAGCTAATTACGAAGTAGGAATTCTAAAAATGTTTTGAGCAATGGGAACGTCACTGGAATAAGTTCATAGCACTCAATATATGATGACTCTGAATGGGAAAGCACTCATTTGGAAATGTAAATTCTGATGGGTATGTTAGAAGATTGGTTTTGTTACTTCATAATTAAGATGTCTTTCCTCTTTTTTAATTCTTTAAATTAACCATGCATTGTCTTCTAAGTGACAGAAATGGGAAGGCTGAATGATTTGAAAAATTGTTTTTAATTCAATGGTCTACTCTTCTGCTCCCANTTTAAAACAACTCTATTCAGATAATGCTGTTTTTGCACAAAGAGGTTCAGTAACTTAAGGTTGTATAGCTAGCAAATGATAGGACCAGGGTTTGAACCCAAGCAGTCTTACTTAAAAGTAACATTATGCTATAGAACCTTCTGAAAACAGCCATTTATAGCTGGACTTAGAAAATAAGGTGAGTAGTAAAGCAGAATAATACTGTTTCTTGCTTTTAAAAGAGAGAGAGAGAAAGTCAACAAAGAGGTAACTAAAATGATAAGTTGTTTGTTGTTTTTGAAGAGTTTTGTTGTTTGTATTTTGGTTTGACAATTTGGTTTTGAAGCTAATTACGAAGTAGGAATTCTAAAAATGTTTTGAGCAATGGGAACGTCACTGGAATAAGTTAATAGCACTCAATATATGATGACTCTGAATGGGAAAGCACTCATTTGGAAATGTAAATTCTGATGGGTATGTTAGAAGATTGGTTTTGTTACTTCATAATTAAGATGTCTTTCCTCTTTTTTAATTCTTTAAATTAACCATGCATTGTCTTCTAAGTGACAGAAATGGGAAGGCTGAATGATTTGAAAAATTGTTTTTAATTCAATGGTCTACTCTTCTGCTCCCATCTTGTAAACTCATAGCATGAATGAAGTTAGAATTCTCCTTTTCTGTTCTAAGTTGTTCTTTCTCTCGTTGAACCCAACAGAATAGTTACAAAATAGACAGGCTTTATTAGCTCATTCATCTTGATTCCTTACAGAGCATGTATTACCCAGGAGCAACTGCTCTGTCTTCCTATACAGAATGTCCCTGAAATACCATCCCCATAGTGAATACTCAGATGATCTTAGTTGATAATGGTTAAAGAAAACCCTTAATATTTATAGCGTTATGTTTTGTGGCAGCATCACTCTTAGGAGTACAAGAAAAGAATTAAATTTAGAAAGTTTGATTTTGGAGGTCCTTACATCTTCATCTTCATTTTATGATCTGAAATATATTTAAATAAGTGTAGGAATACATGCACTGATGTTCCTTTTACTGAATTAGGGATTTCTTGTCTGGTATAGTTGGTTAAACTTACGCTTTAGTATTAAATTCACTTGTCAGAATATTTGGCTTTTTTGATAGATGCATTTGTTTAGCTTTACAGATACTGTGATACGGATCAGGAACCGACACAATGATGTCATTCCCACAATGGCCCAGGGTGTGATTGAATACAAGGAGAGCTTTGGGGTGGATCCTGTTACCAGCCAGAATGTTCAGTACTTTTTGGATCGATTCTACATGAGTCGCATTTCAATTAGAATGTTACTCAATCAGCACTGTAAGTGTCCTGAAGTCAGAAAAGAAGCTAAATAAAATGTGTTGGTATATTTTAAATTTATTTAGAAAACTTCCATTTAGGCAGAACATTTAGTTTTACTTTTTTTCTTATTAAGAAAAATAAACAGACTGCCATATAAAGCAGATATTTTTATTTCATGTAAAATAACTATGTTTATGCTTAAGGAAACTATTGTTCTACTATTTGCTACCATTTAGAGAAAAAGTATTCAAATCTGGAAAAGGGCATTAGGTAGTTTAGCTTATTTTGTTTGTTTTTTATTTTTTGATAGCTTTACTGTTTGGTGGAAAAGGCAAAGGAAGTCCATCTCATCAAAAACACATTGGAAGCATAAATCCAAACTGCAATGTAGTTGAAGTTATTAAAGGTAAACACTTATGAAATATAAAGGTAAATACTTATGAAATATATTTGCATCCTTTCAAAAAGGATGCAAACATCAAAATTGTTGAGTTTTATTCTTGCTATTAAAGCAACTGTTTGTATCATAAGACAAAATGTTAGGAACAAATACATGGGCTTGAAAATAACTTTATATCATTAATTGTGCTTTATGTATGGTATGAATATTTTATTGATACAATTCTTTATTAAAGGAGAGTTTGGTGATACTATAGAGGGTGTCTGTTTCACTTCAAAAAATTCATGTCCCTACTCCTCCCTTTCTAATTCCTTATGCTAGGAGCAGCAATTCATAACAGTTTGGTTTGCATCTTTCCACACTTTTTTGTTTATACCACATATACACCTACATGTACATAATTGTTGGTTTTACATTTTTTGTTGTTTTTAGAAAATGGGGTGTTCTGTAAGTTTTCTGCAAGTTTGCTGACATCTTACCATGTCAGTACATATGGATATAACCCAAGTTTTTGAATGACTATAGGGAATGTATCGATATGTATTAATCCATCCTCCTGTTGTTTTAAGTTTTTTCTATTACCAGCAATACTGCAGTGAGCATTCTTAGGTATATGCTGACTTTTGCTGGTATTTTAGAAGGCAGCATTCCTAGAATTAAAATCATTTAAATGAATTTAAAAATCTGATACTGAAGGGATACTCCCATGTTCATCGCAGCTCTGTTTACAATAGCCAAAGTATGGAACCAACCTAAATGTCCATCGAAGGATGACTGGATATGGAAATTGTGGTATATATTCACAATGGAATACTACTCAGCCATAAAAAGAAATGAATTTCTGCCATTTGCAGCAACATGGATGAACTTGGAGAAAATTATGTTAAGTGAAATAAGCCACACACAGAAAGAGAAATACCACACGTCCTCACTTATAAGTGGGTGCTAAGAAAGAGGGAAAGAAAGGAAGAAAAGACCACAATAATG